ATATGAGCGCCATATAAGCGCACTATTACTATATTACAAGGGGGCATCTCAACGAAATTTCATGCATTTACATGTGTGTTGAATATGCCTCATCTACTAGTATTTATTAACATCTTACGTGTGTTTCTGTCATGAAGTTTCTGTTGAGATATGTAACAGTGTATGATACTTATACAAAAGCTTATATCAGCTATCGCATTTAATGTCTCTAAATATATAGGTGCCATAAGCACCCAAAAATCCACAGGACTGGATATTATTTGTAAATTGTTATGACGTGCCGTTTACATCCCCTGTTTAATTACCATGAAGGATTATCTTATCTTAGTTGATATATGTAACCCCCAGCCCGAACCCAACGCCTGAATCACTAGTCAGACTCCCACGTGGAATCGGTCAAAGGTGTAACGACTAGTCTGACATCACTGACGTCGTCGCGATCACGCTGTAGGCTGCCTGGATGTCCAGCACATGGTCCTCTGCCTTTTGCCATGCTTCTCATGTAATTCTTGCAAGTGATGCGTGGACAACATCCGAATGTACGTACTGGATACAAAGCCCTTAGAGTTAGCCCAAATCAGCTCGTATTTAGCGCATAATATGTCACTGAAGTAAGTAACACAACGTCACCCTTGTAATACGATATCATCGCACACAAATTTGCATACAGCTATGGTCTGTTAAAAAAACCTTCGCTTTTGACGTTTCTGCACTAATCTCTCCTTTTTTACATTTCCTAGTGCTATCTCCCTACCACTAAGACTGTAGTTAGGCAGAACTTCGTGTGACACAAATTTCACATTTCATAAATTCTGGAGAATGGACAAAGGGCAGATAGGAGGTAGACTGAAATAACACGAATGGATAAACGCAATAGAGAAAGACAACTAGAGGCTAGTACAAACAGATGGACCCAGAGTAAGATGGTTAGCACAGACATTGATAACGCAATGATTCCATGCAACAAAGTAACAAGTCCCAGGCATTGGGCAGGTGGGTTCCTTGGTGGCGGTTCATGGCTGGCTGGTGTCTCCTGATGTCAATGGCTTCTTGTAGTTTTCTTTGGCGCCAGTTGTTGTTGGCGGACAGGACTTTGGTAGCTTCCCACTTGATGATGATGTGATGATCTTGGTTGTTAATGATGTGTTCAGAGATGGCGGATTTCACGTCTAGTTTGTTGACAGAGTGTCCTTTGAGTCTGGTGTTAAGGTGTGTCAGGGTTTCTCCGATGTATTGGTGGCCACAGGTGCTGTGGCCTTTGCCAGACACCGAACTCGGGTGCACGTGCCATAAATCAATGCGTTTTGTTTGTGGTGTATAGCATGATAGGTGTTAAGTTCAAATTGCACGTGGTCAGTGATCGAAGTTGTTTTTTGCATATTTGCATTAGCAGACAGGCAGGCAGACACATAGTTGTTAATACAACAGACATTAAGTTTTGTCTGTTGCAGAGGCATATCTATATCACAGTTATAAATTCTGTCAACGCTAAATAATGACATTGCTTTTAAGTATCGAAGTGAGAAAGTGACTCGGTAAGAAGTATGTGTGGTGAAACAGTCAAATGAAATTATATATACTGAAATCTACTGTAATAACATATAAAAAGTAATCTAGGTAATCTACTGTCCTAACATATAAAAAGCTCGCGCCTGTGAAATATTAACAAAACATTAGAAAAATAGCTCCGAGTAGAACGCCTCACTGGTTGGCACATAGCTGAGTAGATATAGATCCTTAACAAGGTTCTTTTATGTAACGAGGATATTATTTAATATTTGTTGTTTCTATACACAACCAACATTAGACTATTCCTGCTCACGACCTTATATTATAATTTGGGTATCCCGCTTCAAGCAGCGCGAACCTTTTCACTGCGCGTGCGCTATGAGTACAGTGCAGCACAGCAATTGAAACCACTTTTCACCCCAGCTGGGGTCAATTTAGTGAATCGTTTGAACTCAGATTCCGCGGGGTTTTTTTCATTGCGTTATTTTTCACCTTTCTAAGTTGAATTTGCATTTTTGATAATTTGTTACTATACGTCTATACCGAAAGGTATCAGAATATGCAAAGTTGTTTTTTACGTTGCATGTGACCTTTCACATATTTAATATTTCGAAACTTCATAATGTTACCAGCCAAGGTGGAGACAAACACGGAGAATTATCACAAAGTATTATTATAGCAATACAATATTGCTCACTTTGATCATGTTGTCATGGAGTTGAGATATTGAAAATCATTTATAGTTGTTCATGGTTTTGTTTGATTAGAGAACTATCATTACATGTACCACCATGAACATCACTGATCAGACACATTTGAAAGATAAGTGTATAATGTACAGTAAACTCACTAAAAGCACTCACTATATATATAATATACTAGTATAGTTATATCGAAGATTACATCGAAGATTGTTTCTCCACTAAATTGGACTTCACCACTAACTTACCATGTAGCAGAATTTATCAAAAAAATAAAAATACTATTATTTATACTCCAAACTAGGTTGTTTGATTTGCTTCATCAATTATTGTCAAATTGTACAGGTTAAATGTGAAAATATATCATCATCTATTTACTGCTGCTGAGAAAAAAAACCTCATATATGTCAGTGTAATATCCTTGATCAAATTAGGAAAATCACATCTTTTAGAAAAAAATATGGTTTCTGTTTTTCAATCATTCGATCGAAAGCACAGGTAAAAGTGACAAAAGGCGTAGATTCTAGATCATGTTGGGATTTCGAACCCGTAGAACAGTTACTATTACCAAGATGACAGGAAACAAATAGAGTAAACTCAAGTTGAACACGTTTTCTTTGGAAACACAGAGGGGATGACATATCTATCTCTTGGTACTTTACCATCGATGAAGTGTTCAAAACAAATGTCTTTGAGCACGTGCATGCGTGTGTATATGTGGCTGATTGTACTAGTCCAGACTTAAGCTGGTTTTTGGTGCAAGCTCACTCAGATACCATGCCACAGTTAAGCATGAATACCCCACACAGACACATCATACACCAGTCCTTGTTGTTACGCATTAATGTCGAGCAGGAACCAACAAGTGCCATATTTTAACGTCTTTTGGTATGACGCGGCCGGGGATCAATATCGCCACCTTGGTCTCTCCTGGCGTACGCTGTAGCCACTAAACCACGGAGGCGGTTCATTTTTTACATTGAAACTTTATGCATTCCTTCATCCATCACTTCTCTCATCAATGAACTTAGTTGAACTGAAGAATGTTTAGGTTGTGGATATCAAATAGTAACAAACAATGTACTATATAGAAAGTATGTATTGATATTAATATCTAATAGTGGAACTTTTTACATTTGGGAATTCATGAACAATAACTGAAAATATATACTAGCCACATAAAGAAACTGTGCACATAGAACATTACTTCAGAATTGGAATACAACACAGAAAAGACGCAATGATGTAGACATTTTATAAGCTGAAGTATCGGGCCACAACAAAATGTCAAAAGAACATGAACAATATCCGTAACGATGACGTAAGAAGTTCAAAACTGAGTAGGGGGTGACACGTCGAAGTAACAAAAGTCAATAACGGGTATGACATTCATGCGCGTGAAGCACAACAGTGCATCCACGACGCATAGAGGCTACCAAATGAGCATTGAAGGCCTTGGGAATGTTTGGGACGTGGTCACTGCCGTCTGGAACCTGTGTCTGAGATGAGTCACCCGAATCCATCTGTCCTGTCTTGGCGTCGGTACTCGGGGACACCATGAACGTGGGTGGTCGGCGACGTCATTACTGTTTCCAGAACGCCTGACCAATGCAGCTATCATGTTATGAAATGTGCTGCCACCTGTTGTTGGCTTATGCCTGCTCGAACCATTCCAATGGCTTCATGACGTTGAGCAGATGTTAATCTTGGCGTGATGTGCATGTGACTTCTCATGTGAATTTGTGAACGTTTGAATGACCAAATATGAAGCTTTCGACAGTGACAGCATTTTCCGAGTTTCACATGTTGTGTGCAGCAGCACAGGTTGCAGGTGCCGCAACACATTGCAAGTGCATAGGCCACCATCACTGACGTCACGTCGGCTTGCACCTGCATGAGCGTTTGATTGTCTCCAATACTTGCTATGTTCACATGTTTAGTTATATATTCTGTGTGCACAGTTTCTTTATGTGGCCAGTATATATGGCAGCTAACATTCATTTTGGTTATTATATTTTGATTTTCACTTTGCTAAGAGCAAATAAGTCAAACTATGAACTTGGCACCCTGTAGTATCACCCAATTAAAGAGTTCCAAACCAAGAACGGTAACTCTGTTTTGCACAGATGATAATGGGTATGAGTGAAAAAAGAGGAAAATGAGCCTTGGGTCTTGGGGGTGGCAGGTTCCCATGCCATATGCAATGACCCCAGTGCGATGAAATCTGGAATTCCGTGGAAATTCTCATCCATTCTCATCTTCGGAAAGGCGAATATAGCATCGTTATCCTGCTGATATACCTGGGTTACTTAGCATATATTCATTTATTTAGGAGCAATAATTTATCTACATATGGTGAACGCAATATTTCCTTTTGTCCTCTTATTTCAACTGTAATAATTGTAAGGTATTCCGAATTTTATTCGAAGTTTGTCCTGTTATTAAGGTCCAAAGCAATCAGTGCTCCAAAGATTCCTCAACATGCGACACAACAGAAGGGGGTGCAATGCGAAAACACTGCCCACCCGGAGACTGCGTGTTGGGTGGAAGCATACTGATGCAGGGCATACCCGCCTCATATCAGAACCTAAGGGGGGAGGAAAGAAATTTCTTGACGTGGACAAGACGTTCACGCTCGAACAGTTGACAGAAGAAGTGAAGGACCTATATTTCCCAAGTGGCAAAAGTCAGCTCATGGCCATAGACGGTCTTAAGTATAATTTAGAGTTTTTCAATGGCATGAGGGTGTCAGAGAAATGGATGGAATCTGAGACCCTCGACGCTAACTTAAAAAAGGAAACAACGCATCCTATAAGATTTTACCTGCACACTGAGGTAACAATGTGAAATAGACTTCTCAGTCATGTAAAAATGCAGGACATACCATGATTTTGCAAGTACCATTCACATTTCAAAATCACCTTTTAGTATCAACTTATGACTGAAATGTAAACCTAAATACTTGTGTTTGGTGTTTATTACGATAAATTAAACGTAGGTGCCAGCCCCCCTATTCTCGAAAGGATCCTTGCCCTAGCGTATCCTAAAGTTGCTCATAGGGTCTAGGATAGTTGTCCTACGTTATTCTCAAAAGGAATGCTAGAGCTAGGTAATCCTAACTGAGGACAAATACTAAATTAGGTTCTGACCTGTGCTAAGTCTATCTTAGTGGAAGTCAACATGTGTGGTACTTGTTTGTTCACCAATTTTGACGTCAATCAATATAAATTGCATTTCACAGCACACAGGTTTGATGGGTTAAGAAGAGTTGTTTGTGTTTATAGTATCAATTTATCGGTAATGAATAGGCAATCTGTCACATTGCTGTAAAATGTGAGTGTAAACACCAGCTGGATAAGTGAAGTAACTCCTGTTTATTTCCTAGGTGAATTTTCACTTTGTTAGATGATGCATAATGGGATTTGAAGTCATGATTTTCATAAAAAAGCAAATATAATGAAAATATTTTTTGCACATATGTTAATATTTTGTTAGTATTTCAAATGTTCAAAACCTTTATAAACCATTATCGAATTATGAAAAGATAGAATACATTAAGACATAACGATACACTTTTTCTGGAAGTAGGGTCATTAGGACAGATAGATATTAACAAATTTAAATAGATGATTTAGATATCCGAATATGAGGTGCCTCTATTTATCTGGATACAAGAAATGAAATGGATAATGTTTCCATCTGGATCTACTAAGTGCATCAAAAGCTGTATTTCACTGCTTTCAAGCTTTTTTAGTTTGATTTCTAGTCTTTCTATGTATCTTGTGAACGACGTTGTAGGTGCCTTTATGTATGTGATTTTCATGCAATGAATGAGCGTACTATTTAGGGGAATACCCAAGTTAATTAAGGTTTTTTTTCTATCTCACGTGCTCAAGAGCTCACTATCCCAGCCAGGATCGGTAGCTCAAGTTAGCACAGGGATAGGATCGTTTCAAGAATGGGTCTTATCCTAAAAAAACGAAGCAGCAAGATAATGATCATATCTGTGGGGAGAATTATCTGTATTTTAGCTGTAACGCCATAATAGCTTCTTGTGCCCGACAATACCATTTGTATACCGTTGCAGCTATTCCAGATGATGTGTATTTACTTGTGATTCACCAATGATACATAACTGGCTTTTTTCAGCTGCTGGTGCACTTTTCGATGCAATGAGTCTTACATTTTCTTTTCACAGGCAAATACTCATCGGCCAAGTGAAACCTCGGAAACAGTGGTATGCATACATTTTATGATCATGATAAACAATCTAAATTGTGTTTCATGGAGCTAAGTTCAAACAGAATAAGTGCGAAAAATACCTTGATAATACCTGAGTTTATCTCAGCAGGATAACGCAAACATTTTCTTTACATCCATCCAGGAGTCTGGCAACACTCAGGATTTTCATAAACCAGAAAGTATGCCACGAAGGAGATCCAGTGCAAGGTATGTGATAAACCTCAATGATGTGTTTGCATCATATTAGCTATGTAATGCATATTTCAAGACAATGCATGGAAACACCACCGAAATACAGCAAATTGTTTGCTCCCTCTACTCCAGGGGCACCAGTGGAGCCTCATCTACAACAACAACAGACTCCACTACCAACACCGCAGGTGTCATCAGTTTGGTAAGTTCTGTATACTTAATCCGATTTTGAATTTAACATGATGTTTTCATATCATAATGCATAATAATGTGAGCTCATATATCAATACGTACAGAGCAACACCGCGATTAAGTCGACACAGCTTGCTCCATCTAAACCTGTGCCTTCTGGTTGTGATACTTAGCCATCTTACCTTGGAGTATGGTTGTTTCATTTACATGTTCTTCTTCTTTCTTTATGCATTAGCTTTATATACAATCAGCATGTTTCTCACTTTGAAAACGTACTTCACTATCATTAGTGATGCATTGACGAGAACCTGATTAATCAATTCGTTATGAATTCGTTTACTTTGCAACAGTGACTAGACGTATATCAGATTTCAAAGCTTATTTGAAGACATTTTCGTTATAGGATGCTGCTGTAGAGGATGCTGCTGTGAATACGCCAGTAATGGTAAGCGTCCTTGTACTGATAAATATAATAGATTTATCTCCTAGCTCAATACATGAATGTTCAAAAACCTTATTAGCCATTATAGAATGATGAAAATATCGAATATATGAAGACATAACAATACAGTTCATTTTCTGAAGGAGGGGAATTAGAACATATAGATCTATATTAACAAATATCATTGAATATTTTAGATGTATCCGAATATGAGTTTATGTGTTTTTCTGGATACAAGATATGAATTGTAATAATAACTATGATGTTTACATCTATATCTACTAAGTTCCCCATCAAGAGCTGTATTTCACTGCTTTCAAGCTATTTGACTTTTAGTCTTTCCATTTATCTTGTCAACGAGATTGTAGGTGCCCTTATATATGGGTTTTTCATGCAATGAACGGAAGTACTATTTAGGGGAATACCCAAGTGAATAAAGTTTTTTTCTATCTCACGTGCTCAAGAGCTCACTGTCCTAGCCAGGATAGGTAGCTCAAGTTAGCACAGGGATAGGATCGTTTCGACAATGGGTCTTATCCTAACGGTGGGATGTCCTAACCTATGTCTAAACTTGTTAGGATCTGTCTCAGCTGGTACACCCTCGAGAATAGGCACCCTTTTTTCCAAAGATCGCGGTTATGGTTACTGCTAGATTTCAAAGCTTATTTGAAGACAGACATTTTCGTTATAGGATGCTCATGTTGGGGATGTTGCTGTAGAGGATGCTGCTGTGAATGTGCCAGTAATGGTAAGCGTCCTTGTACTGATACATATAATAGTTTTGTTTGCAGACAATGTAATTTGTATATCGTTGCAGCTATTCCAGATGTTGTGTATTTACTTGTGATTCACCAATGATACATAACTGGCTTTTTTCAGCTGCTGGTGCACTTTTCGATCCAATGAGTCTTACATTTTCTGTTCACAGGCAAATACTCATCGGCCAAGTGAAACCTCGGAAACAGTGGTATGCATACATTTTATGATCATGATAAACAATCTAAATTGTGTTTCATGGAGCTAAGTTCAAACAGAATAAGTGCGAAAAATACCTTGATAATACCTGAGTTTATCTCAGCAGGATAACGCAAACATTTTCTTTACATCCATCCAGGAGTCTGGCAACACTCAGGATTTTCATACACCAGAAAGTATGCCACGAAGGAGATCCAGTGCAAGGTATGTGATAAACCTCAATGATGTGTTTGCATCATATTAGCTATGTAATGCATATTTCAAGACAATGCATGGAAACACCACCGAAAAACAGCAAATTGTTTGCTCCCTCTACTCCAAGGGCACCAGTGGAGCCTCATCTACAACAACAGACTCCAGTACCAACACCGCAGGTGTCATCAGTTTGGTAAGTTCTGTATACTTAAACCGATTTTGAATTTAACATGATGTTTTCATATCATAATGCATAATAATGTGAGCTCATATATCAACACGTACAGAGCAACACCGCGATTAAGTCGACACAGCTTGCTCCGTCTAATTTGTGTGTTCTGTGTGTGAGACTTAGTTATTTTAACTATGATTTACTTTGCTTATTGTGGGTTTTTTTTCTATTTTCTCTTCATCAGTTTAACAACCAACCACAATACGAATAACTTTCAATACATCATTTGCAATTTTACTGATACTTTGAGGAGCACTTTCTTCATGATTTCGTTGTGACTATTTTCCTTGTACAACTGTCACTAGAAATGCACCAAATTTCAAAAGGTTTATGTTTATGTTTGTACAAAGAGACACAAGTGTGATATGAAAGTGCCACCCCACACAAGTTTCTATATCAAAATTGCAAAATAATTCATTTCTTTTATGAGTACATTGATTAGTGATACTAGTGTAAACATAAAACTTACCTCGCCTCACAAATCAAATGAAAACATGACTGAAACATGTAGCTGTACGATATTTTTCCCCAATATCAGTACTTGTATATTGTATTATCAGTGTGATATCCCATATAATATACAACTATTTCCATTGCAAAGGGGTTTTCTATACCGAGTGTTAAAATGGTGACAGATTTTTTTCTTTAGGTATGGTATTTGTGTAATCTGTTTGGTGAAAAATTAAGGTCACGTGAAATAAAGTAACAGGTTTAATATTTTGTATTACTATGTGGTTGATGTTTCGTTTCTTAGTTTCTTCTGAATATATGACTTTGATGTACATGTTTATGCAACACACAAGGAACGTATTCAAATATTTCAAACAGCGCCAATATCACTTATGATATTAATGTCATATCATGTACGGTTCACAGCGCACCAGGAATGCACGTAGCCGTTCGCGAGGACGAAGGTTAAGCACGAGGTACGATATATAATAATTTCCGATATACATACCTTTAAGTGATGTTTAAAGTGTCCTCTTTTTTCTGTAAGCTTCACAGAGACATTTACAAGGTGGAGCAGTAAGGCAATAAAACAATATGTGGATGACCAGCTTCGAGCGACGTTTCGGTGTAGGTTCTAACACCGTTATCAAGCAACTACTTCTATAGCTTTCAGTGACAGAGAAGCTTACAAGTGACTTTAGATATCAATGTTTTGTGAAGCATGTGATGTTTTGTTCAACTTCAGGCGTACCACACGTGGTGCAGCAACTGATACTAATGCTCGAGAGATCGATGAGGCACAAAGCATAAACGTCAGTGAGCATCCTTTGGTGAGTTAAGAACAGAAGTAACCTGTCTTTTTGAGATATAAATCTAAACGCATGAAAACAATTGTAGGTGTAGTACGTGTGGATAGTAATGAGATATAAACAGGACAAATGGGGGACCAAAATTAACCGACCGTACTAAAGAACGAGGCTAACAACAACAAAATATGTTTTTACAATATGAACATATGTCAGTGAAAAAAACTGCTGCTATGCATTATGCTTATGATATTACATTTACTTCTGAAAAAAAGACCAAACATAGTGGTTATTGTTTACAGAATAAGACGCTTTTTATCATTTTAGGAAGTGGCTGATGACGAGGTCATTCCCACCGACACCGGCACTCCCACAGTATCCTTCTTGGCAAGGCAGGGACAAATAATGATCCATGACCCCGTAATGGTAAGTGACGGAGTCTTCTGTACCTGTGAAAGGTGAGTGACTGAATGAATATGCGTTTTAAAATTGTGTCATGATATTTACATACCAATTATATTCTATAAACCTGTGAAACGGAATTAGCAGTATAGAGCCATCACTGAATTGGACACATTTGCAAGGTAAAATGATAGCTACACATGTAGACTCATACTTATATTGTATAGACATATTTTCAGGATAAACCTATGGTGTCAAATGATGTGGTAAGGATATAGTTCGCAAACATTTTAGATGCAATTCTTTCATTTTCTTTCGCTTTTTCTGTCGTTCGTTTGTGTAGTAACTGTATTGTTCACAGTATTCAATTCTGTGGTTGGCAGTATATGTTCCGTATGTAGCTATATTGATAAGCTCATATGTCCAATTCATATACTAAACATTTCTTTCATGACCATGACTTTAAAATGTGCAAGCTTGGTCAAAATGTGAAAATGTCAAGGTGAATGGTAATATGCTATGATTTACCTCATCCCATTTTCTGAATGGAAACAAGGTTAAGTTCTGTGTGATGATTATAGTGCCGCGTCAAGATTATGTATAGCCATTGAAGGCCTGGGATGGTTGGGAAGACCAGTGATTAAAGCCTTAGGTCGTCACGCCGACGTTTGGGCTTCGTTTCCCCATATGTGTGCAACACCCCCGTGATATTGCAGGAATATTGCTAGATGAAATGGTATGAAACCATACTCGCTCATTCAGTACTCTCATGAATATATAACATACACAACTATTTATCAAAGTGTACTTAATATATTTGACCTACTTAACCGTATGGCTTTTGTTAAATTCACTTTAGTTAAGCACATGAAATGTCCTTACATGCAATCCTTTGTTTCAGGATGTGGATTAGGACGAAGACGACTTGCCAGACCTTCAGCTTACTCAGCATAACGATACCAATTCAACATTCGAACAGTAATGCATAGAAATGATAATCATACCCTGAGTAACTTATAACAAGAGCGAGTGAATGACATACTGACTGAGTGAGCTAACCAACATGGTAGGCTTTTAGCAGAATAGCAGCAATAATACCTTGTGGGACACCAGAAATTGGCGACATTGTACTCGTAGTTGATTCGAACACATGGGTAAAAGTGGTGAGCGAACACCTGAACCTCTATTCTACCATACTATGCCAATACAAGCTAGACACAATCTCAAGTCTGAACAAGTTCAACCAGTCGTGGTGACAGGAAGGTTTCATGAATAAAGAACGGACTAATATGAGACATGATCTCATGTACACCGCAACCCACGTGTGCCGATCAATAACACGGGCACAACATATTTACCTAAAGAATGGTTCTGCTCATGCCACTGCTCAAATGGCTGCAAGATACCACACTTGTCACTTATAGATATGACTACTACTGGCCTTGGCCAATTGTGTTCAGAAATGGGGCTGATTAGGGATGGTGACATTTAAGCTAAATACTCCATATAACGCCAATAATTACAGTACGGTCACCAAGTTCTGTTATATGTGCAAAGTGTGCAAGATGGAACGGTTGTGAAGTTTCTTGTTCAGTTCTTGTTCACTAATCAGTATTATAGCTCTGCTTTTCTCTCAGTGTAGTTGAAACCACATTCTAGGTCTCATGTTCACTGGGCAACCACACCACGTCATTACCGATAATCACCCAACCATTACATTTTTGCGACAGGGAAGATAGTGAAGGACATAACAATTGAATATATAATATGCGTGTACGCTGTAGGTCATAATTATGGTCATATTTGTATCGCTCAGGGGAAAAGTAGTATTTAATTTGTATTAATGTTACTTCAAAACAGTAGTAGGAGTTAGGTGTGTGTTTTGGTTTCAAGTCACTGCATAGAACAATGTATTCTTGTATGTTTTCCATTAGGCTGACCTTACAAAGGAGATTACAAACTTGGGCACTGGCCATGGTGAACGCTGAAAAGACCCAAAGTATTCTCATACAGCGAGAAAGGGTTTTAGCCACTGCTCTGAGGGCCATGACCAAACCTTCCTTTGATTTTTTGGCAAAGGTAGAAGTTGAATTTTCAAATGAAGACGTGGGGTCGGAACTTGCTGCAGATTTTGGGGGTCCAAGACGAGAGTTTTTTTGGATACGTGACAATAAAAGCAGTTGTTTGATCGAATCACTTTCCTTCCTGATTTTCAGCAAATACTGGCTTTTGTTTTATTTGGAAGGCAATAGGAAACATACACACGTATGTACTTAGTAGGTTTAGGTTGTATACTGAAGTAAATGTGTGATCAAAAGACAATTACCAGTTTCATCAATTTCGCTCAAAATGCACTAGGAAATATATAGTGAGGGAAAATATAAGGGAACACCACTTTAGCGCAGTACACAATGCGATACGAAGACTGGCGAAAAAAAAAACCTGGAACAGAATAACGGAACACTTTTATTAGTTCCATTATTTGCTGTGCATGGTATACTATACAAAACTAGCAGGTTATATTTTGTTTTCATGTGAAACTACAGGAATATATACTGATAGGTTGCATTAAAAGTAAGTGGTTTATGTGGGAATAACATTTCGAAAGAAATCACACCACACAAAAGTATGATGATAATTAATAACGTGACCACGGAAAACACAGAGAAGGAGTGAGTGAGTGAATATTATGGTTTTACCCGCTTTGAGCAATATTCCAGCAATATCATCGCGAGGGACACCATACATGAACTTCACATGTTGTGCCCATGCGGGGAATGGAACATTCAGCGTGACGAGTGGACGTTTTAACCACTAGGCTACCCAACCGCCACCAAGCAGGTTGGGGAGGAGGGGTATTTTCGAACTAGTATTGCCATACGGAATCGGTTGTGAAAAAAGAGGTAATGTTTTGAAACAAATGCTCAAACAAACTATTGTTAGCACATTTAATGATAAAGGAAGTAACAGTTATGCGGTAGCTGCAACATGTTGCACAAACGCTGCTGTGGGTGCTGACCCTTCCCCTATTAACGTCATTAGCAAACCTCTCTCAATGAAACTGATGTCAAGAGACCAGATGATATTGACTCATCGATTGATTAAAAACAGGGTTTTACCCCATGCTAGTGACATTGACTGCAAAT